CATACTTATCCTTAAAAACTTAGCTACTACTCCAAACTGGAAAAACAAACAGAAGCAACTTTCACATACAAATTAAATTGGATGTAAAACTTGCTTTAATCTGATGAAGGTTAATAAGTTTTTGCTTAGTATAGTCTAAACTCTTCATGCTCGGGCTGAAACACTAATTTAACTATTATTTTTAAAACTCTTCACAAAACTAGAAGATAACAGGTTATTGTGAATGAAACTCTGGTGGAAAAAAGGAAGGAGTTAGAAGCTTGTCATTCACTAGTTATACAAAGGAAAAATTAAACGTGACACCTTATTTTAAAGTACACTTAGGAAAATTTTACATGTCATTCTTTTTAAAAGGAGGTAATTTTTAAACAGTCATAATAAAGAGCTTGTAGAACTAATATATATTCCATGAGATTTTTAACTGCCTTAAACTAATTTGTACAGATACTTAAAATTTGCACAATTAGACTTCTGTCTTGCTGATGGAAGTTCTAATAGAAACAAACAAGAGGTTTACAAATTAAAAATCATTTGTTCAGTTTTCTCTCGGGCCAAGCTACAACTGATAGGTTGCCTGTATGTTTGAAAGTTGTATACTCTAGTTTATCGTAAGCTTCAGCTAACTTGGAAGTCAGTTTGTCTTGTCCCCTCCCCCAGATTTGTTGTCCGTTTGGTGTGCTAGAAATAAGGGGAAGGGCTTCTGGGTTTTCTGAACTGTTAATGTAGTAGGCAAAGGGATGCCGGCTGACAACATTTGAAGTCATTGTGATTAATATGGTAGGTGGCAAACGGTAACTAAAGATGTACATGAAGTCCATTGCACATGTTTATTTTTTTTAATACTGTACATCTTACTTTAGAAGCACCTAGGCTAACAGACAGGCACTTTAATATAAACCTAAATAAAACATCCTAGCAAAATGAATAAAAGCTCTTAATATGCTACACAGGAATTTGTAATGTTGCAAAGAAGTGAAGAACTGTTACTTTTCCCATATTTTGACATGCACTTTTACCTTAGTTTGTCTCACTTGAGACAAGTTAAAGCTTCCCTTATATATTCCCCTTTTACTATCAGCAAAGTATGGCAGCAAATATGTTTTGTTAAAAGCAGGAAGATTTTATTAATGTTCTGCCAGTCAGAGGTTGGAATCTGAATAGCAAATGTTTGGCTTACTCAAATTTATCTTGTTATGGGAGCTAAAGCTTCCTGAAGCCAATGGAAAAACTTACAATGACTTCAGTGTAACATCAATGCAGGAAAAACCACCCTTCTGAGAATTTTAGCTTTAGAAGTAATTTTGACTTTAATGAATTAGAAATTTGGGAACCGAATATGTTTCTCTCTACCTAACTTACCTACTGTTGAATTTTCTGTGCTTAAGTAACCAGTTGAAGGAACTGGATTCTTGGCTGCACATAGTCTTGTAGTAATGAGGTCAAAAATATGCCATTGAAGTATTTCCAATGTAGTGAAGATGAATGATGACGCACTGTCACTCCTAAAAATGTTTTTGGTTTCAGGCCTGGTTCAAAATCCATTGCAGTGGATTTGTAAAAGAGAATGTAATTTCCATTTTTCATAATGACACTCTTTATAATTCCAGAATATCTCTGTTGCTTTATACTTTTAAAATTTATTTTATAAGCAGAACTGCAACTCTGTATGCATAACCATACAGAGTCCTTTGTTTTGAGGACTAAAAGTTGACTGAACTGGAATCCAGTTGGAAGTTACTGCTCCTGTACAGGTTTTGTAACGTGACGCTTCCAGTCAAAGAATAATAGAAATGATAGCTCTCTTTTGATCACACGTTGACACGTTCTAAAATCTATATTTGGCTAAAATACGATATTAGAACTACAAACGTTACTGTTAAAGACCATTACAATTAGTAATTTGTAGAAGTCATTTTCCTTGCCTTTTGATAGATGATGTAAACTTCTATTCCGAGGCTCTAGCAACTCCAAGGCAACTGCTGAAACGGTGGTGCTCCAAGGAGCACCTTCCAGCGCCGAATGATGCCGATCACAACAGCCAAGGTCGCCTTGGTTTGCGGCTCCAGCCTTTCTCCCCCTTAGTATCAGTAGGGAGATTAACTCCCGTGTGCGCAAATGTTTGAGGTTTCATCCTTCCATTCCATTTACGTGGTTTCTGATCCATTAGGACTTTCATTGGCAGTGCCTGTAAACATTACAGGCTTTTCTTTTTGTGTCAGCTCATGATTTGGCGATTTAGAAAAATGGCTTCTGAACCGTGATGCCCCTGAATGAAATTTTAGATAGGAGAAATAGTTAGGTCACTAATAGAGGTAACCGGTAGCAAGAGGAAGCCTGGATGATCTTACTGAAAAGGGGCCCTCATTTAGGAGGGGCTCCTCTGGTGCGGGGGAACGTATGTTCTTAATAATAGAACTCAGTATGAAAAAAAAACCTAACCCCAAACCTTGCAAATTGTTATTTAGAAGTATTTTAATATTGACTTAATACCATTGTCTCTGCTTCGAAATCCCTAAGGAAAAGAAAATTAGCTTGAACATCTATGAACTGTTGGACAATGATAAAACTATTTTTCCTTCTTCCCTTGTGCAAGCTCCTGTTTGCAGGGGGGTTCTTAGGCAGCAGCAAGCTTTGGCGTTCATCCCTTGGTTCTGCAACCAGATCTGCGGGGTGGATCCCTGCTGATGTCCTGGTCCTTTGCAGAGGGTCACCCTCTGGACAAGGACTCTTAATTTTTCAACATAAAACTGCGTGTTCAGCTGTGCCAAACAGTATGCTGACTACATCGATTTCCTTCTGCCTACAGAGTAGGTTTGGAAGGTGTATTTTCCTATTAGTTTTTCATAATTCTGTACGTACTATTTACTATAAAGACCAGAGTTAGTACTGGAAAATTATTTGAGAGTGTGATCCTGACGATTCCCTTGCACAAGCAGGCCTTACTCAGAGTCAGTGAGGGATACTTGTCAGGAATTGTGGGATCGAGTCCTGGGTTAGGACTTTTCATATTGAGTTCTCCATGTGCTAGACTGCACTAACTTGGTTTTTCTAAAAAACCAAACCCTTATGTTATAAGGTGGTGATTAGCATTTTAACTGGTATTAACAGGGAAGTTTGGGAATGAGCTGAAATTTTTCCATAGCTTGACTCTGTTAAGTTCTGTAGTTGCAAAACATTAACTTTGTGGGTTTGTTTGTTTTTATTGTAATAGATTGTTTTAGAGATTTGTTGACATTTTTAACATGCACTATTTATAGTACTCTTAATACAGACTTATTGAGACTGAATATTCCAATGAACATGCAAATACTAGACTGAAGATCTTGGTAGATTATCTCAGTACTTAAACCAACTGTGAAGCAGCTAATAGGGAAAAATAGTTGTTTTTTCACAGATACAATGTTTAGATGAAGAGGATTTTGACATAAAATGTTGATTGGCATTTTAACATAAAACTCAGTGCTGGAAGACACGTTCCAACGGTGTTTCCTAGCAAAATGATCTGTTGCTATTTGTTTTGTTCCAGAATGTTTGAGAGGTTTGCTTGTTTGCTTTTTGTTTCTTTCTGACGAAGGGAATGTAATTTAGAAGTCTTCACTGGCAAGTTTTCTATTAATTTTAAGCTTCTTTGAAAATCTACAGCAAATGGATGTTCTGCTGCAGGAAATGTATTCCCTGCTGAAGCATTTTTCATTGAGCAATCTTTGTGTATGTGCTTCTAAGTACCTGCTTTGTTAATAATATGTATTTCAGTGTAAAGAGCATATTTTGTATGCAAAAAGGAAACCTGTTAGAGTTGTAAAATAAATTTTATTGTGTAGTGAATGTTTTTGGATGAGAAGGTTAATTCTGAAATGACTATATCTAGTGTAGTTCATGTTGTGGAGCTTTGCTTTTGTAAGATATGAATAAAATAACACTTTCTAATTAAGTCATGTTAATTCTACTTAATTACATATGCTTCGACAGCTGGAACTGATGAACTCATGATATGGTATGGAGGTAAGCTTACCTTTTGGGTAAGCAAGGAACAGTGCATTTACATTTCAGTCTGCTGAAGTTGAAAATGCTCAATTTTAGTGCTGAACCAGGACACTCTTTTACTTCTTTCCACTCTTAATCTTGCACATTTGGTCGTTGTCTTTGTTTCCTCGTACTCCTATTTCCTTACCAAGAATGCTCGTATGTCTGAAATCAGAGTTTTTATTGTGGTAAGGTGGCTGGCGCTGCATATGGAACTGCTGTGTATGTTGTCAGATACTTCGAAGGCAGCACCAAATGTTAAGTTCCTTTGGACACTGGAGTTAATCCTATACGCGTGCGTACCTGCATGCAACTCTCAAGAGCCTTAATTTAGGTGCATCTCAAATTTCTTGTTCTTTGCAAAGTTTCTGTCAGGGAAACAAGCGGAGAAGCCAAGAGCCTGATCTAAAAAAGGGGCTTAGGAAACTGAAGTGGGAACTTGGATTAAATTAGGTGCTGACATCCTGACTTTGGATGCTGCAGTACATTGTTAACCCGCTTCAGGCTTGAAGTGCTGAACTCTGTCTCACTTCTTGTTTTCCTACCTTCCCAAGCACGTGTTCTCTGGAAATGCTCAGCTACCCGTCTGGCAGAGCAGAGCAGGTCACCATCCCAGGCGCTCTTCAAAACCTCAGCTGGAGGAGACTCCAGGAAAGCTGATCCCGCTCAAAGTTAGTCCCGCTGTAAGCAGGAAACAAGACTAGGCAACTTCGAGGTGTTCCTCCCAGACTAACTTTTCCTATGCTTCTGTGAAATTTAAAATCTAAGGATGGTTTGTTGTTGGCTTGATCTTCAAAGTCAAACACAGTATGCCAGACTGTATTTCTCTTCCGTAGTATGAGGAGAGGAGTTACGAGAGGGCATGAGCCTCCAGAGAAGAAAGCAGTACCTCTCACCTGTCTTCAGGTGTGCTGCTGAAAGAATACTGCATTTTAAACACCCTGGACTCTTAAAAAACACCAACATTCTCTATGTCATTATTTTAAAATATATTTATTAACTACATTGGTTGCCTCATGTTGGAATGAAGAAATGACACTTGTAGCAGGGTCAGAATATTGATTTTGCACGCAAATTTGGTTTTCCAAATTATTTCCTTGCCGCAAGTCTTCTAAAAATTCTGCTTTGAGTTTGTTGAGTTCTTCTGCCAGGCTCTTCATCTCAGTTGGGAGTATGTTTTTATCTAAAAGAAAATTAAAGCTCAACTTTCAACTTCATGTTTAAAGACAAAATTTACAGACTTTGACTCGCGTTCTACAAATAACTTTGACCAGACTTCTGAAGGAGGTTGCCTCAGTCACACCTGCAGGGCTGGGATTCCTTAACAATTTGCCCCGAGGGAATTGCACGGGTTTAGTGTTACGTTGCAGGCTAGCACCGGGAACACGCTACGCGTACCTTTTGCATCCTTCATTGTCTGGGAGATGATGCGTCTGCACGTCTGATCGGCCTGATGGACAGCACTAGCTGCGCAGATTGCTCGATCTGCTTCCTATCCAGGGTGACCAACAGAAAGGGAGAACACGTGCAAATACGTTAAATTTGATTTAGACTGCCATCACCTTTTGAAGTACGCTTTGAAAACAAGGAACACGGTAGCAGCAGCTCAGTGGCTGGTGCAGCACGGACCAGCTCCTTTGGATTCGGAGGCAGGTATGTGTGCTTGCATGCCTGCCAGAGGCAGACGTCTGCGACATTAGGAAGCAAACGTGATTTTCCTCAGTGGGATGTGAAAGCTCCAAAAGCCATTCTTTTTACTACTGTAGAACATGTAACAGCATTCTTAAAGGTAGTTCGGTGGTTTAACTTAATAAGGTGACAGAAGTACCCATTTCAAATAGGATTAACTTCTCTGCGTATGCTTTTGCAATCAAGAAATGCACTAGCTATTTCTCAATTTCTGTCATCACGGGTGTTCTGAATCCAGTTCAGGAATAACTTAACTCATTCACCATCGGCTGAAAGAGCCGTGACTGCGAAGACAAGCAGTGCTACCTTTTGTTCACTGTTCTCCTCGTTTTGCTTCACTGGATTTTCCAAAGCAGTGGCCAGCAAACTAATTATCTGCTCACTAAGGAAACAAACAAAAGAGTAAACCACATTAATCAAACAAGTTTCACTGAGGATTTTTCTTTCATTTTGTAATGACACCTCATCACAGAAAAAAAAAGCAAGTTTGCAGTTAAATTTATGAGGCAATCAATGAACTAATCTTTATATAGCAAGTTAGATGAAAAACAATTACAACGAAAACTACAGCCAATTATTTCCAGTCTTACTGTTTCAGACAATTTACATGAATTTTCAACAACAGTTTAGAAGTGCAGTTAGGTTTGATGCTAACTCTGCAAAGAATGATGGCGGTGAGTTCCCAACAACTGGCACGTATCGTGTGTTACAGGCTTCCAAAAATCACCACATGGAATACTTTTTACATGCTGTTTACATACAGTCAAAAGCTTCTACTTGCCCGTTTATGAAAATGGTACTTATTGAAAACCCTAGCATCAATACAGTAGCATACTTATCCTCTGGCGTGCAATCAAAACTTTTCAGAATGAGGCTGTTCCGTTCCCAAGCGTTTTTCTTGAGATCTGGCATTTCTATTTTTCCTGCCATTAAACATATTGTCTCGTCAGGTAACGGATGGCTCCGGAGACGATTTCTCTGCAAGCAGCATTCGAGTGGACACTCTAAAAACAACTGGCAGAAGCTCAAGGAATCTAAAAGAACATAAACAGACAGTTTTACCTTTAAACTGTTGAGGTAATAATTTCTGAGAGCAACACGCACGAGAAAGGCTTTACATGAATGAGTAACTTCTACACTAGTTCTGAGCCTGAAAAGAATACAAATCTAAGAAGAATACAACCAATTTTACCTTCAAGGCTGCTCAAGTAGTAATTTCTGAGATCAACATAGATAAGAAAGGCTTTAAGTGACCTAGCAACTTTTAATAATACAGCAATAAAGTTAAGTTGGTGGTTACTGTACAGCAG